GAAGTGGGACACTTAGGAAGAGGTAAGTGTCCTTTCAAGGGTAATGGTTGTATTAGTTCACCTGCTATTAGACATCAGAAAATCCATATAAAGGGAGAATTTGAGGGGGAGAGAGAGATAAAAAGCCTTAATTAAAGCCGTAACCATGGGGAAAGCTTCAAATGCATCTTGAACCTTAGTCATGAAAGCATCAACCTCAAGTCATCACAGGTAGCCGAGCTTCTTCAGTTCTGGTCTCTGTGAGGAGGCCTTCAGCAAGGTGAGAGTCCTGGCACAAAATGATGGATGTGAACCTTCTGGAAGACACAGGAGCTTTTATTACTAACAAACACACGCCTCTGGACTATCTTCGAAGGTTCTTCAGAAGGACTTCTCATGATACTACCTAGAATGGTGTTTTTCTTTTTATTTTAACAGTGGTATTCAGAAGCAGTCTTGCTTCCTCCACTTAGCAGAGGGCTGAAATTGGTTGTCAGACACTTGCCATCAGAATCGCCTCTCAGTACTAACTCTCCTGCCTGAATCTCTCCCAAGCTGATGGCACCACTTGCTGCCTTTGCACCCTCCGGTGGAACTGGACCACATGCTGTCTCGTGATGGGTCCAGGGCAAGGATTTGAACAGGAATCAGGAAAGGCAGGACAAAGCTCCTGCTGCCATCCCGCTCTGCACTTTGTCTTTCTTTGGCTGATGTAAGTGCCTCTTGCTGGTGACCATTGCCTTCCAGATTGCAACTCTGAGAGCTGCCTTAACCTATTCTTCTGTTTCATCTTGATTGATGGAGCCTTGCAGGTGAAGTGAAGGCAAGCCATGGGAGGAGGGGTTTATGAAAAGGCCCTCAAACTAAATTGCGTGTGTGCAGTAAAACTGTTTTGTTCTTCTGCTCGGATTTTATGCTGCAACAGTTAACAGTGGCATATGAATACCTCGCTGGTACGGAGAGATGAGAGATTTAGGTGCTAAAAACACCAAGACCCAGAAACATGAAAGATATAATTTAACAGGTTCTAAGGTAAAAGCCAAATTCATAGCTGTGATTGCAAACGGATGATGAGTGGGGCGGTTTCATTATTTAACACTGATTTTTACATGGATGCAGACTGCTACCGTTCTTATTTAGTGTCACCTCACAGTCACTTTGCAATGGGTGTAAATGACTGCTGACAACTGGTAGTTACACCAGTCACCCAAGTATGAGGTTAGTCAGAGTGGGCAGACAAGTTGCAAAGGATTCCCTCGGTTTCCTCCTGTCTGGAGGAGAGGAGAATGAGGAGAGAGAGCAGAGAAAACTGTCAATCCCACTGCACATTAGGTATTGCTTTGTGAGGACAAAAATGTAAATGGATTTTGGTTAGCATGAAGATGATAATTTCTAATAAAGACTTATTGGCTGGTTACCAAGCTGCTGTTAGAGATCAAGCCATTTAGTTTGGTACAATTGCATTTTAATTGACTCCTGTTGCATTTTAAGTGGGCTTTAAGTGGCGTATAAGCCTTGAGTTTAAATTTCCTAAGTCGGATATATCAGCACAATGCTTTTTAGCAATAAAGCAAAGTTCCTGTTTAGGAAACAGGGCTCTGCAACATGTCCATAAAGCTTTGTTATCCCTACTACAGATCCCCGGGACAACTTTCCTTCCCACTTGCTGATGTTCTTATCCCAAAAGTTAGACAGAAATGTTTTGCCTTTTTTTTTTTTTTTCCTGCTTTTCCCTCATCCTGCTTATCTTCTAGGGAAGCTATTTTATAAACAGTAATAGAATAGGGCCGAGAGGCTTCTTCACACAGAGAGGCAGGCCCAGTGTAGACTGTCTCCTCCATATGGCAGCATATGTTTCTGTGCATTTCCTGATAGAGCAACCATCTCCCTGTGGCATTTGGGCACGGTATAATTAGCTGTGTACAGAAGTAGAGTGTTGATAACATTTTGCTGGAAGAGTGCCATCAGCGTGACTGTTCTTGGTATTGGTTGCCATAAGTAACACTGTCTTTAGAGAACAGGCATTGGAAATTTGTGGGCTGCTCTGCACACCCCGAGCTCCTTTGTGATTTTATCAGCGGTGGTGCCTGCTAGCCCTGTGAATTTTGAATGTTTAATAAGGGAGGTGCTGGCCTCTTTGTTTAGCTGTGCGTCTTCTTGATTGTAATTTGACAGATCTAAGTCCAACAGCACATGAGCATCACAACTGGATATACAGCCTACTACTCTCTGTTCTTACCTACTTGCTCCCTGCTTTCTCCAGCTCCTGTAGTCAGTCCAGAACATGACAAAAAGGGAAAAAAAACCTCCAGGAGTATTTCTCTTTACAAAGCTAGGTCCATTGCTGGGTCTGCTACCTGCCTTCCCTATAATCGAATCTTCATGCCTTTTTGACTTCTAATGCAGACAGAATCTCATGATTACAGTGGATTATATGAAAATGCGATGTATATATGAAAATAAGTCTGTCTCAGAGGGTACCCAACAGCAGAGCTTCAGAGAGGAGTGCAGAAAATATAAGATAACTACTGATGAGTAGAAGAGGACAAATTTCATCTTCCTAGAGGCAATTAAAGGATTAGCACTTTACGGGATTATCACTTCTCTATCCATTTTACACTGCTTGCAGTAACCTTGCAAGCACAATTACCTGTAATCTTTTGAATGCTTTTAATTTGCTGGTTTCTGTGACAAAAGTAGAAGTGAGTCCCAACAGTTAGTAATACAATGGTCAAAATATTTTCTGATCATACATGTATTGTCTTTGGCTTTCTCTTCTGCACCTGTAAAATCTCCTTCTATGTTTGCACAATGCTCAATTTTCAGCAAAGCTGCTGAGGCAAGCCTGTAACATCTGGGGGGAGAGAGGGGAAGAGCTAGTCCCAAGTCCTGAACCTGTAAGGCTGTGCGATGTAGCGCAGCTCTGTGACGGCTTCCCACTGGGAAGGGACATTTCCGCATTTTCCTGCCTTCTCTTGAAATATATCAGGGTGTCCAGTAGGAAGCTAAAGACTAAAAGAAGCTGTTTTGACTCAGAAGGGCTGACTGAGGTTGGAGAAAGGAATGCTAAGGCCTTGAGGTATGGTAAAGTGATACAGCCAAGGGGAGTTCAGAGCAGAGTACTCAAATGTATTTTGCTGAGGTACTTTGGGCAAAGGCAACAGCAGCTCGTGCTTCTACACGTGTACTGGAAGAGGCTTTTTGTATGCTCAGGAGGTGTTTTTATGCCAGTTTAAAACAAACTGTGTATTAAACCAGAGCATGAATGTTCAGATACAGATTGCATCTGGAAAGATGAGTGGCAGGGAGCATATGCCTACTTCTCTGTAGGTATCTGATTTGGGTCAGAAGTCAAATCCTCAGGGCAGCCTCTGTCCTGACATCTTGTTAGGTCTGAATCTGAAGAAGCTGTCAGGTCAGATCAATGGGAGCACTTTCCAAATTCACTCTCTGTTGCTTACTCCCCACTGACAGGGATGTTATAGCAGAAGAGCAAACCTTACCAAAAGTTTCACCTGAAGCTGAAGGTAGATGTAGAGAAATTTGTCTTGAACTTTTGTGTTTTTGCAGTGTTAATAATGGTTTCTTCACTGCTGTGTGTGCAAGTCTGAGTTTGATTGCCTTGCGTTCTATGTGGTAGGTACATTTGGTGGTGGCGTGTGATAATCCCAGAATCCGTGTAAATTTTTCACTTTATTCCCCAGCCCTCTCGTAACTCTAGAAGCTGAGCAAATTAACTTTTGGCGTAGAGAAGGATATGGCTGGAATCTCGTTAACAGCAGAAGAACAACAACAAAATCACTGAAGAGTTGTCTGGGATTTGAGAAGCCAGAAAAGAGAAAAACAATGTTTTGGGGCTGTCTGCTGGGACGTTCATTGGAAGGGTCAGAAAAACCGAGGTCAAGTCCTCAGTGTGTTCTGTGGCTGTGATGCAGGAATGCTGGTTTGCTTGAAGTAATTGGAAAAGCAGTCCCAGCTCCCACCCTCACCTGTGTCCATCTCAACTACTGGTGAAAAGAAGCCGTGCCTGCCCAGGCACATGCATTGGGCATATTCTCCTCCCCACCTGATCCCACACTGGGGCTCTGGGGCTCGCTCTGGGCTTTATTTCTTGGTCAGAGTTTGGCAGTCGCAGAGGTACAAAGAGCTTTCCGGCTTTTCTGACCTTGCAATCTCGACAGGAAATACAGCGGAGGGAAAGATAAAAACAAGAGGGGAGCAAATGAGGTTTTCTCAAGCCTGGGCTTCTGTGCCTTGAATTGATGCAGATAGAAGAATGGGAGGAAGCCGTCTTTGAGGGCTGCTTGAGAGGCAGGCTTCTATTAATAACGTTGTTTATGTGATCCCAAGGCATTGTTAGGAGGAATTTCTGCAGCCTGTAAGCCTCTTCTCTTGTTGCTCAAGATTTACCCACCTCAACTTTTCCTTTTACTCTAAGCTGAATTTTTAGGGAGTGCTTTATTGGGGCAGACTGCCTTTATGCCCCCTTCTCACCCAACCTTTGGTGTCTTCCAAAGAGGCACAAAAATCCTCGCCTTGCCTCATATAAGAAGAGTCTCACTTAAAAGAGACTCCCTTTTTAGCCACAATCCCAGCTGAGGAGAAGATTCCCTCCTTTCCGCTGCAGAGCAGAGAATGCCGGCTTGTAATTGCAAAAGCCTTTCCGTGCCAGTTCTCCTCTCACCTGCGCTATTCTCAACTAGTATTTCCTTTAGGCTCTCCCTATTTGTTCCCACCATAGCAAACACTGAGAAAAGAAACGTGGTTGTTTGTTCCACATCCTCACGAGCTGCCATTGTTTGAAGCAGCAGTGGACAAAGGCTCGGAGAGTTTAAAAAAAGAACATTCAACAGTAATCTTTGGCAAAGTGATAGCATTGGAAAGTATGTTTTTGGCAGTGGTATGTATTTTTTATTAGGATATATTGTAAAGTAATGAGTTAGGGCCCTCTTTAGCACTCTCAAAACAAGACATCTGTGATAAACAGTCATGTGATCCCTCTTTTTCCCTTTTTCTGCTAGTTTCAGATATTTTCTGGTGGTGGATACTCTACACACAAAAAAATTCAACGATACAAGGGAATGTTTGAAGGAGGTAAGGGGGGGTCTCCAGATCACAATCCCTGAGGAGCCTGGGAGCGTCCTTTATACCCAGTGCTGTCAGACCCATGCTTCCACACCAAATCAAAAGTAGTTTTAACTCTTCCTGGTGAGAGCCTGAAGGGATGTGGAGGGGCACTGCAGCTCCTGAAATTGAGGATCTGAGGTTGGCAACAGGACTGTAATATTCAAGCATTTGCTAAAGAACTTTGAACGCAGCTGGAGTGGATGGAAAAGACTTACTTTTGTGCTGCTAGGATGGGAGAGCTCTCCCGCAGGGTGGTTTCTGTGTGCGTGTGTTTAAATCTGTGCTTTATATTTTATTGAGATACTTTCTATATTAAATTAAATGAGCGACTGTATTAATTCAGGCATGCAGCTTCCAGCAGCACTCCCATAGTCACAGAGGTTTCTCTTTGCATTAACATATCTGCGTTTAAAGCTAGGCCATCTCAGCAACTTGAAGAGTACAATGTACTGTATAATTTAACAGGGAACAGAAAGCATATCAAGTAAAGCCTTTAAAATATCACCTCTTCCCCAAAGTCTACCAGAAGAAAAACCCGCAAGCCCTACAGTCTGCTCGTGGCCCAACACCCAGCAGCCACATAAATCTGTGTCACTTTGAGGCCTACTGGTAGCAGCCTCCCTGCGGTTTTGAAAAATTCAGGAATCCAAAGGCTCAGTAACATACAGCTGTCTGCGAGCGGAGGGAAGAGCAAGCTTAAGAGGACAAACATCCGTGTGGTCTGGTGACCAGGCTGTGGTCTGGTGTAGTGTGAAAGGTGAAGTCCGTGTGATGTGAACTGAAGCCAGACCTACAAACATCACTGAAGTCATATGGGGAAGCAGATTTTTTGCCTCCAGCTGCAGACAGAAGCTTTTCGGAGGAAGACAGATAAGTCTGAATGCTGCCCTTAATTCAGTGTGGCAGGCGGGTGGCAGATAGCTTGGGAATCCTTCCGCCGTGATACTTAACATTAATTTAGAGTCCACCTGCAAAGATCTGGGGGAGCAGAAGTCTCAGGGTGTCTGTTCCTGTGGGCCTCCTAGGAATCCCCTGCACCCTAAAGGAACTGGCTGGCTGGAAGTTTTACAAAACATCCCCTTCTGTACAGCCTCTGCTGTTCTCAGCCACAGGGACTGTTGTGCTGGTATTCTCTGTGCCTGGGCCCACTGGGAACCTATAGGAAAATCCTGCCTTCCCCCAGCTAGTAATGACTAAGTGCTGGAGGCACTTTCCTGTATGTATTGACGCTATGTCTTTTGAAGCTGCAGCTCCCACAGCGTATAAAGGCTGTATCCCGCCCTTTGATGCCAAATGAAGGCCAGGGTCACTGTATTTGACCTCAGTAACTCAAGGTTTAAAATGGAACAAAAGAGTCAGTAACCACTGGAAGTGGTTACTCATGAGGTCTGATCTTGTGTAATACAATACTCCATGACAAGCGCTTCCAGTGTTGCCAGAGCAAAAGGAGTGGGACATGCAGTGTGGGCAGTCTCATTTCTTCACAACAGGGTGTTGGAGCACGTGCATCTCTAGAGCAACTCAGACGTAAAAATCTCATAGCCCATCTGTAAATCCCTCCAGTGTGATGAAATTGCCGCTACCGGTCCCGTAACAGAACGTGTAGAGCCATCTGGCAAAATTAAGATGAGTGGGATTTGCTCCTTTTTGCAAAGGAAACGTCCGTCCAGCCAAACTCCAGGGTGTTTATAAATTACTTTACATGGGAGAGGGCTGTGAAGGCTTCTCTTTTCCAGCTTGTGGTATAGTAACCTAGCAGTGCTGACTTTCGTTTCTTGAATCAATCATTCTCATCTGGGTGATGATGCTTCCTTGGGCTGTGGCATTATGCCATCACGTTTTCCATAAGCCAGCATGCAGACACAAAGAGCCTGGATTGCTGGCCAAGTGTTGAACAAGGAGAAAATCAGCAGGTCTAATGTTGAAATTATTGATATTGTTTTAAAGTGGTCTAGTAAATACAGTTGAATCAGCCCTGTCATCTCAGTCAGAGCAATCAAAACAATCATTAAAGCTTAATAAAGTTGAGTGATTCATCTTTTGCTGTAATATTTTCAAATAATTATCCTACTTAAGATTTCAGCTCCTTGAGAGTTTAAAATTTAGGCAGACATGAGGAGAAGGGCTGAATTTTAATCCAGTGCTATCTCCTGTCCCCACTATCTCCTAGGCTTTGTACCTTCTATTCCTGCTAAGACTGGTTTCAAGCTCATTGTTGATGAGCACTGTGGATGTTCAAGCAGTTGGATGATACAGATGGATACTTGGACTAGGTGGTCCAGGATCTCATCTCCATCAAACCATGCATCCTTGTCCCTTGGCAGTGTCAAATGTCCAATTCATAGTGTTTCTGGAGAACCTGACAGTCCCGTCTTGCACACAGTGATGCAAGGCACAATGCTGCACAGAGGCACGCAAATGTGGAAGCCAGCCAAGTGCCACCTAGAGCGTAGACTAATGGAGATCTTCGCATTTATTCTGCCTGGCAGTTGTTTGCTTCCAAATGTTGATTAAAGCTTGGAACAGCTTCCAGCCCAGAAGAGGAGATAGCTGTGCACCTTGACTCTCTGATGCAGCAGATGGTACCGGCGGCTGTTGTGGTGCATTCAATGGTTAGATGTTTCCAGAGCCTCAGGTTGCTGCTCTGCTTGGCTGAATCTCTCTTCATAAATATTCACTTTTGAAAGAGATTTATTTAGAGGGAAAACATGGCACAGATAACTATGGTCACCAGAAGAAAGGATCTCAAAGGCAATATTTCCATTGCAAAGGCAACCAAAAAAAGGACTCAGCAGGTTAGTCATTTTATGTGCATATTAAATAAAAAGCATTCACTGTGAGCAGAGAGTGCACACAGTTACATCAGTTCAGCTGTTATGCACTCATTAAGCTGTAGTGACTAATTTACTTGCAATTGTTTCTCCAAGCCCTAAATCAGAGCCTTTCAAACTGTGTTAATGCCCTACCTTCCTTTCCCTGGCGTAGAAGGAGGGGCCAAGACACTGATTTATTAGAGGTGAAAAAAAACAATCTTGGCTAAAACTGAACAAAGTACATGTTAGATCCCAGCTAGGCATTTCAGCTTTTTCTCAGCCCAAACAGGAATGTAGTTAGTAAGAAATTTTGGTCACGGGGTCAAGAAATACTTTCCAAGCTTTTCTTAGTGCGTTACCTTTTATCCGTGTTGATGGATCATTGTAAAATGTCCCTGTATCTATCTTGCTCTCAAGGAGATTTCCGCCAGTGGGAATCTCATGTGGTTTCTTTGTGTCTGTGCTGAAACTATATTTCATGGAAGGAATCTGTCAGGAAGGTGAACTTTCTGACAGTGAAAGTCTGCACAGTGTTTACGCAGCAGTAGGACCAGGCATCTGGAGGGAGAGCAGCCAGCTTATCGGCTACCCAGCACCCCGGAGTGGGAAAGAGTCAGGCGTATGTTTAGACCTTGGAGTGCATACCAACCAGCATTACACTAACACGTCCAGCTACTTTGATAATAGCTGTAGCATGCGAGGGCTAAGAAGTGACTGAAGAGGACATGAAGTGGATGGTTCAGACCCTGTCTCAGCCATTCTGCTGTCACGGAGGCACCAGGCTGACGGGGTGTTGTTAACCACTTAGAGCTCTCTCCACACACTGACGGGAAGTGATGCAGAACTGAGTTGTTCTCCTTTGAGTGATGTGGAGAAAGTGTATATGGAGAAAACGGGCACAACCTCATGTTACTTCTTGATGGCTCCACGAAAATTGAACTGCCTGTGAAAAATGTTCTGTTAAGGATGGGAGAAGATTTTTTTTTTTATTATTATTATTACCTTTATAAGGTGCTTGAGACCCTAAACTAGACAGTCAGATGTACCTCCCTTACCTAGGGCAATCAGAAACTCAAATACGAGGTATCTTTTTTTGAGGAGCTGTTTATCCATTCTGCCATTCCAGGGTTGTGTCATGTTTGTGGTACTGGACTGATAAAACAGGGATGCCACTGATCTCTCACAGGGGGCATGTGCTCCTTGACCCTTAGCAAGATAACCTTGCTTTTCACTAGGGAAACAACAAGTTTACAGGTAGGATGGGAAATGCCCTTCTGGGGAAAAATGGTGCCTGGTTTCAGACCTTTGTGTTGAGACAGAGCTAAAATCCATCCGCTTAGTTCATACAAAAAATTAAGTGGTGCTTAAAAGAATTGTAGTTTTCTAGCTTTCCAGTGATGAGTTATGTTCATTTTCAGCAAGCAATGCATTCAGAGGGAAAGTCCCTTAAGCCAGCCTCTGAACGCATGCATTTCTGTATTTTCAGTGCTTAAATATTTGCCATTTCCCACTCAGGAATGCTGATATGACATTAAATTTCTGCAGACGTTCCCCTAAATGGCTGTTTGGGGACATCCACAAATGCTTATTCTGGGTTATAGAGCTGAGCATCCCTGTGCTCTGATGCTTGAACCAACAAAAGAAAGTTTAGGTCCATTGCCCCCACGCAATTTCTTTTTACTTTGTGTGGCATGTGTCTGCCAACTAACTGCTGAGTAAACTCTGTTCTAGAGCAATTTAGGGTTTTCTCTTCATTTTCAAATGTAAGGAAAGGCAGCAAAGCCCAGCTGAAGATAGTAGCCCAAGGTTAGAACTTAGGATCAGCTTCTCAGCTGATATTCAGCAGGAGGCTTTGCTGGGTAGCTTGTGTCTTTGGAACTCAATTTTCTCCTTATGACAGGAGGAACACCTAGCAGCCCCCATAGTTCTGTCTTTGATGTCCGAGCATGTTTTGCTTTCTGTTCTCTCAAAAGGAGATGGAACATCTTGTAAAATGGAGATAACTGTTTTGGTTTGTTCGCCTCCACTGGGAGGTAACAGAGTTGGGAGGCTCAGCAGGAGCAGCAGACACCAACCCCCTTCCTCCCTGGAAGCCACCATGAAAGGGAAATAATCTTGATGCCCAGTTTGAGTGACTGCATCATGTAAAATGCCTGGAAATCGCTGGCCAAGCAACAACAGAAAGGTAACATAGAAGCATTTCTGCTGTTCACTCAGAGCTGTATCCCATGAGCTTGCCTGCTCTTTAAAGAAGCAGAGGCAGCTCTGTGTGATGCCAGAGAGTTTACCCAGACATTTCCATAAGAACAGAGACAGGTGGACTAGGAATCGTATGCTCAATATTTATATTCCTGTAAGAGATGGGAAGAGAAGCAAGAGCCGAGCAGTGCTCCCCAACCCTGCCCCTTCCTGTATCCTGAGCTTCCACATAGTAGTGTCTGTTTATTTGACACAATCCAGAAAATGTAAACAGTTAGTTTAAAATTAGATAGAAAAGCTCTAGGGGATCAATGACACAGAAACATGGTAGATGGCTGGGCTTACGAGATGTTTTCCCTTAGTGAAGGAGGCACAGAGATGAATGCAGTGGCTTGTTTTTCACCAAGTGTATACGAATAATGTGATGAGGTGATAAGAGCATGATGTGCCACTTGCTAGTAGTCTGTAGAGACTGCAGGCTCTGGTATGCCTTGAAACCAGTTGTTTTCATTTAAGGGGTGTGTTGTTTGCTGGATTGCATGGTCTACAAAGGCTTTACTTTTGTATTGTGGTGGCTTGGCCCCAGCTAACAGCTAAACTCCCACCCAGCTGCTTGCTCCCTCCTTCCCACTGCTTCCAAGGGGAAGAAAATTTAAAAAAAAATAAAAAATAAAAAAAAAAAAAAGAGAGAGAGAGAAAGCTGGTGGGTTGATATACAGACAGGGAGATCACTCACTAATTACTGTCTCAGGCAAAACAGACTTGGGGAAATTTATTCATTGCCAATTAAAATGTAGTTACTAATTTGGGTAGCAGAAAACAAACAAACAAACAAAAATCATTAAAACAGCACCTTTTATCCCTGGCTCAACTTGACTTCTTCACTCCCTCAGGCAGTGCAGGGGGACAAGGATGGAGGCTTACAGGTCAGTGCATAGCGGCTTCTCTCTGCCACTCATTCCCCCTCACACCTTTCCTCTGCTCTGATTTCTGTCAGGAAAATCCATTCCCATGTGGACCTTCCCAAGGGCTGCAGGGAATATCTCTGCTGGTGTCTCCTCATCTTCCTCCTCCTCTGACCTTGTCTTTCTCTCTTCCATTTCTCACTCTCCACCACCACCACCCCCTCCTTCTACATACACCTAATATGTGAATGTTGGATATTTCAGATCTCTGGCCACTAGAAACGCCTTGATGCTTGCATAAGCCCCAGGAAAGGCAAGCAGCATTTGTCCTGGTCCTTCCCTGTTTGCTGAGGAAAAAATCCTTCCTTCCCTCAAGTCCTGTTGCAAGGCTATGTGTGGGAAAGAAGGCTGAGAACTGGCCCTGGGACTTGGGTGAAGTCTTGTGACAAGTTGTTGTTTTTTGTTTTTCCATTCATTAACATTACCAGAGCCACCCTCCCCGTTTACTGTGTGATATTTTCATTATGTGAAGTCGTAATTTTGTGTGAGGAGTGGCCTGAGCAGTGAACCTTTGAGAGAAAAAGCAGAAGCCAAGGAAACTATGTGCAAGAGATGATAAATCCAGTGGAATTAAGTAGGCAGGAGACAAGAGAAATATGCCAGTATTGTGAAGGGAATGAAGTCTGGCATCATACTTTTTTTTCAAATTGCCTGGTAGCAAATGTGGTAGGAAGACCACAGGTGTTTGGATCTACAGGAGGAGAAGCCTGAAGACTTACTGGCATTGGAAACTTGGATCTCGGTGAGTACATTTAGAAGAGCAACCCAAATGTAATTTCTAAACCGAATGCACATTCAGTGATGCTGGCAAGAGAAAGCAGCCTGCCAAGCTGCAGCTATGCAGGTAGCAAGGGAAGCAAACCTGGCCCCTTTGGAACTCCCTTAGGATTTCCTCCCCACCCAAACCCCACAAACGCAATGGCACGTTAGTGGCAGGAAAACAGTAAATAATTTTTTTTTTTCCATTCAAGGCTCCAGGCTGCAGCAACCAGACCCCCGGGAATTCAGACTTCTTCTCCAGCTCAGCTGAAAGGATTAATGTGGCAGACTTGAGGGGGTTCCGCTTCAAATCCCAGCTCCCTTGCCTCCCTAATTACTTCCATGTGTATTTGTGCAAGGCTGCGTGTTGTCTGGGGTCTGCAGGTGGCATAGTGACCTTTGGGCTATAGGTGGGTTTTCCATGCTCTGCCATATGTTACATGAATGAGCCAAGCAGGCAGAAGGCAATTGTAAGCATCCACAGCCAAGCAATCGCTCTCCTTGTACAGTGACTGATGGATTCTGTTCCTCTGCCCTCGCTTCTCCCTTTATGCTTTCTCCAGCTGTGACAGAAGAAGGAATTTCTGGCCTTAGATTATAACATTTAATTAAAAAGAAAAACTTCCATGCGAAGATAGCTTGTTTCCACAGCTTTGATGTTGGTGCCTGTGGGAAATAGATGAGCTGGAAGTGAATTGTGGGTAACAAAATGTAAATGAGCAACTCCACGTGGTCTTCTGAGTTGCTGAAATCTCCAGATCAGCAGAAGCAGATCAGTGCCTTCTCCCAGTGAACTCCATTGCACGCAATGAGTTTTCACTGCTGATCGTACTGCTCCTTCCAGCCCCCTTCAAAGGCCTTCCCAAAAGTCCCCTCGGAGACATCTCAGTCTGTTCTTGGTGAGGAGACCACACTGCTGCCTGAGTACCCCACTGGAAGTGTTTGCAGGGGAAAAAGAAGCAGCAGTGAGTGCTAAAACCCGCCCCTTGGTGTCCCTAGGGAGCTCTCGCTGGGGTGAGTTTGGGCTTTGCAGCAACTTCTTGGAAGTGACTTATGGTTCTTTACTTTGAACGTAACTGGGTCACGCAACAGAAATTCCCTCTTGATTTTCTGACCTTTTACCTTCATAACCTTTTGACAGAAGAAAAAAAATAAATGAAAACACATCCAGTATTTTAGAGAATATGGAAAACCTGTTGAGGGCTTTGCAGCAAAGGAAGTGGCTCAAAAGATTAGCTCGTCTCGGACCTTTGGAGCAGTGGCTACTGGTTCCAGCGGGATGATCCATGGCCAGCACTCGGTATGTACGTCCTGCCTTACATTCCAGGCAGCCTGGGATAGCAAACACGGGAATCTCCAATTTATGCCTTTCAGCGGTCTCTTTGCATATATTTTACTAAGGTCTCTGGTCTAGTTTCAGAGGATTTCTCCTTTCACAGTTTTGTTGAACTCGACTAAGAAATACGTATTATACAGTGGAAAAAAAAAATACAAATACAGGTTATAGAAAGGAAACAGATTTGCTGGCTTTGAACCCTCCTGGCCTGCTTGCCCTCGCACTTGCCTGTTTCCTGCTGTTGGGTTGCCACCAAGAGGGGTAAGGCTGAACGAGGAGCTGCTGAGGCAGGGGAGAGTAGCCTCAGTGGGCATTGCCACCGGAGACAGCTCAAGTGCCTTGCTGCCTCAGTGGTCAGGTGGAGGAAGCCTTTTGGGATGGGCTTTGTCAAACTCAATGCAAGCTTTCTTCCCTAGGGCTCCAGCTGAGGCACTCTCCCACTTTCCCTAAGGGCCAGACAGTGGGGCAGGCAGGAAACTGGCCCAAAAAGCAGAGCCAAGCCCTGCAAGGGGCTGTGTGGTAGAGCCCTCGGTCCGTGGTGCTCTCTGCTCTGTGGGGTCAGGCGCTCCTCTCCCCTTGCAGACCAGCTGGGATCCTGATGGTTCCCTGATTGCGTTTGTGGGTAGGCTGAGTCGGAGGGAACATGTGCAGAGGACAGCGTCTGAGTGGATTAGGGCCGTTTCAATCCATTTGTTTTCAAATATGCTATGTTTGGTTTGGGCCATGTGGGGTTTGTTTGATAAAGGAAGAACCATTCTAATTGAATTCGCTGGGTCAACTGCAGTTCACCCGGGGGGGAGGGCAAGGGCTCTGCCAGAGGGATCCGCTGGTAGGCAGGAAACTGCGAGAGCTTGGCCTTTCGTCCTGGCCAAAATCACAAAATCATGGGTCCTGCTCCCCCGGTGAGCCTCCCATGGCAGTGGGAAGCCCACTGCTGAAGATACTCACTGCTCTGGGAAAGCTTTCTCCTGATGCGAGGATAAAGTGAGCCTTTGAGCTGCTAGTCCTGTTTGTGGGTGGTGAGCAAAGGACCCAAGCTAGCTGAAGAAATCTGCTTAACCATTTTGGAGCCAGCCCTCTTTTCTCTGTGCAAACCTTATGAAAAAGAGCCTGGTGAGCAGCAGCAGCAGCTCCCCTTCCGGCCTCGTAGCACAACGGCTCTGTATCTGTGCTACTCGTGGAGATTGCGAGCCAATGAACAGGAAAAACAACAGGCAAACGGGAAAATAAACGTGAATGAGTGTCTTCACCACAGAGTGGAGATGGGCTTGCTAGGACTGGAAGCAAGAAGTGATGCAAATTATAAAAAAAATAAAATAAAAAAATCAAT